TCAGGAGTCTTTTTCCCATCCATGCTGATAAACATGGACGATGCAGACTGTGTAAGAATGACTACACACAAACGGTCTGTTAGAAGTGCAAAAGTACTTTTGTTGTTTACAAAGGATAAAAATTGTTTCTTGGAGAACCACACGAAAAAGTGATGTTGTTGTGCCAGTGTAAAGCTGTTACACTGTGCTTTATGTTTTCGTTGTTATGAAAAGTGGTGAACACATAAAGTTAGTGTTCATATCATTTTCAGTCTTCAGTGTTAATTTACCACACCAGACCAATGCTGCAACATCCCAGAACACTGGATGTGAAGGTCTCTCTCAAATAAAAGTCAGGATTGTATATTACTACTCCATATGACCTACGTCCTCTGCATGTCACCTTCAATAGTTTGTGTAGATTCATTTTGCAATGTCCATATCTCACTCATCATTGTATTCTGTATGAAACTCTGGATTGGTTACTTCCTGATGCAAGAATGCACTTTCACTGGTTTCAGTTCATCTTTAAATGCATTTTTCTTTTCTGTCCATCTTACCTCCAACAATACTTTGTTCCATTTTCATCACAATACTCCCTCAGACAATTAGACCATCCTTCCTTTGTAATACCCAAAGACGAAGAGCGTTCAGATTCAAAGCACCATCAGACTGGAACAACTTACCAAACTCTCTGTGCTCCACATCATCATTCCATATCTTTAAGAAAGACTTATTCATTCATCTTAAAACACAATGTGATGCTTTTAGTGAGGGATCTGTTTGCTTGTTATATTAACGTTTCTCTATGTTTATGTTTAATGTCTGTTTGTGTCTTTGTATTCTGTCTTATTGTTCTGTGTTTCTGTTTATTAGATATGTTGTTTTGTTTTTGTTTTGCTTGTTTGTATTTTTGCGACTTGTTGTTGTATTCTTTGGATGCTAAGGATCCCCCTCGAAAACCAGGTGACTCACCTCAAGGGGCTTTTCCTTAATAAAAAATAAACGTACTCTAAATATGGTCATTTTCCCCAAATATCAGATTTTTTCCTGTTACTAAAATTTAATTTGCGCCTGAGAGGGTTAAATGATCTTTAAAGTGAAAGTATTGTGTGTATTTCTTCATACTGTACACATTATACTGCAAAGTCACTTGTGTCAAACTGTTTGGCTGTGGAAGTGTCGCCGCACGATCCTGATCAACACTGAACAGGAAATCGAAAACTCTTCTAGACAGTGTTGGGAAGGTGACTTTTAAAATGTAATCCCCTACAGATTACAGATTACATACCCCAAAATGTAGTTTGTAACGGAATCCATAAAGTTACTTAAAGTAAATAATGTAATTGGATTACTTGATATTGTCATACTTTTTAAAACGACATGAATGTATGAAATGATTTTTATATGAGATCACTGCTGCCTTCAATTATGTCCACCTGCTGTTAATGTCATATTGTTTAGTCCTGGTTTTAGTCCTGGTTTTAGACCTGGTTTTAGTCCTGGTTTTAGTCCTAGTTTAGTCCTGCTTTAGACCTGCTTTAGTCCTACTTTATTCCTGCTTTTAGACCTGGTTTAGTCCTGCTTTAGTCCTGCTTTTAGACCTGGTTTAGTTTAGTCCTGCTTTAGTCCTGCTTTTAGACGTGGTTTAGTCCTGGATTTAGACCTGGTTTTAGACCTGGTTTAGTCCTGGTTTAGTCCTAGTTTAGTCTTTTCCTGTTTAGTCCTGCTTTTAGACCGTGGTTTAGTCCTGGATTTAGTCCTGGTTTTAGACCTGGTTTAGTCCTGGTTTTAGTCCTGGTTTAGTCCTGGTTTTTAGTCCTGGTTTAGTCCTGGTTTAGCCCAAAATGTGAAAACAGGAAAATCCCGCCGTGTAATCCATTTATTTCAACAAAGTAACTGTAATCCAATTACCACTCATTGAAACAGTAACTGTAACTGAATACAGTTACTCATAATTTGTACTCTGATTACATAATCCCGGTACATGTAATCTGTTACTCCCCAACACTGCTTCTAGATCATTTCACACAAACACATGACGACTGGAGCTTGGTGATGTGTTTTTCTTAGAATGGATGGAAGTCAAATCATGATCATGTCAGTTTCTGCCTTTTGTCTTTGCACAAAAACTTATTTTTGGTTCATGATACAAAGACAGAGAACAGGAACTGACAAATAAATAAGGGTCAAAGGTCAATTTTGAGCTCAACATTTTTCACATATAAATATTTCTTCATTAGAGAAACTAGTCGTCAAATTTTGGAAGCCCGACCTGTTCTACTTTTGTCTGGACAAAACACAAACTTTAAAGTCGTTTTTCTCAGAGTTAAGATCTTTTGTCTTTGTGAGGCAGCGCGCTTGTCTTTGATTGGCTAATCCACCTGTCAATCACGCCCGTCCAAGGTGCTGAGTTAGATGTGTATTTGTGCGTGTGTGTGTGTGTTTGTGTGTGTTTGTGCGTGTGTGTGTGTGTGTGTGTGTGTGTGTGTGTCTTGGGGAAATCCCGCTGGAGGCTGTGGCCGGAGCCTGACTCTGACTCTGGTGCAAAACCAGAGCTCAGGAAATTCCCCAAACACTGAGATCACTCACAAAAAATGTACAGGTTGTAGGGAGGAAAAGAGAGAGAGACGGAGGAGAGGAGAGAAGGAAGGAGGGAGGGAGGGAGGGAGGAGAGGCGAGGAGAGAGAGATCACTAATCACAAAGAATGCACAGATTAGAGAAGGCTAGAAAAAAAAAGAGAGGAGAGAGAAAGAGAGGAAGGGAGGGTAGAACAAACAAAGAATGCACAGATTAGGAAAGGCAAGAAAAGAGAGAGAGAAGAAAGAAGGAGAGAAAGAGAAGAGGGAGGGTGGACAGGAATGGACAGAGACATCACACACAAAGAATGCACAGATTAGGGAAGGATAAAAGAGAGAGAGAAAGAAAGAAAGAGAGAGGCGGAGTGGAAAGGAAGAATGCGCAACTACAGGATGAAGAGAATAGAAAGAGAGAGAAAGAGAGAGAGAGAGAGGGAGGGGAGATGAGGTCAAACATCCAACACAAAAAACTATAAAAAGAGACAGAAGAGAAAGAGAGGGAGGAGAGAAAGAGAACGCACCTGGAGAGAAAGAGAGGGAAGATAATGCACCTGCAGCGGAGAGAGAGAGAGAGAGAGAGAGAGAGAGGAAAGAGCAGGAGAGAGGGAGAGAGAGGGGGATGAATTACAAGGGAGGGGTGCGAACAAAAGAGAGAGAGGGAGGGAGGGAGGAAGAGAGAAGGATAGAGAGGGGGGGATAGAGAGAGAGAGGATAGAGAGACAGCAGAGAGGAGGTAGAGAAGAGAGAGAGAAGGGGAGTGCAGACAGGAGAGACTGAGAGTGGAGAGAGAGAAAGGGAAATGGAGAGAGGAGAGAGAGGGTCAATAGAGAGAGAGAAGAGAGACAGAGAGGAGAAAGAGGGACTGAGAGAGAGAGAGAGAGAGAGAAGGGGGATTGAGAGAGAGCGGCGGAGAGAGAGGAGGGGGATTATAGGAGAGGGAGAGAGAGATAGAGAAGGAGAGAGGAAAAGAGAGAGGGGGTGGTGCATACAGGAGAGATGGAGGGAGGAAGAGAGGAGCAAGAGGAGGGAGAGGGACTGAGAAGGATTGAGAGCAGAAAGAGGGATTGAGAGAGAGGGGGATAGAGAGAGGATAGAACGAGACAGCAGAGAGGAGGTAGAGGAGAGAGAGAAGGGGGGAGAGTGGAGAGAGAGAAAGGAAAAAGGAGAGAGCGGGTCAATAGAGAGAGTGATAGAGAGGGGCTGAGCAAAGAGAGAGAAAACGGGAAACGGAGAGAGGACAGAGAGCGTCAATAGAGAGAGAGAAGAGAGCCAGAGAGAGAGAGAGAGGAGAAAGAGGGACTGAGAGAGCGGCGGAGAGAGAGGAGGGGGAGAGAGGAGAAGAGAGAGGAGGGTGGTGCATACAGGAGAGATGGAGGGAGGAAGAGAGGAGCTGGGGGAGGAGAGAGATTGAGAAGGATTGAGAGAGGGATAGAGAGAGAGAGTGAGGTTCACTGGAGAGAGAGAGAGAGGAGACAGAGAGAGTGAGAGAGAAAGAAGGACTGAGAGAAAGTGACGAGAGAGAGGAGGGGGAAGTGGGGATTACAGCAGAGGGAGGGAGGGAAAGAGAGAGAAAGGGAAAGGGAGAGAGGAGAGCGAGAGGGATAGAGAGATGAGAGAGAGAGAAGAAAGATGGATTGAGAGAGAGGGTCAGTAGAGAGAGAGGGAGAGAGGAGAAGAGAGAGGGGATGATGCATACAGAAAAGATGGAGGGAGGAAGAGAGGAGCAGGGAGAGAAAGGGATTGAGAAGGACAGAGAGAGGGTCAATAATGAGAGAGAGAGAGAGAGAGGAAAGGGAGAGAGGAGAAGAGAAGGATAGAGAGGGAGCAAGAGAGATGAGAGAGAGAGAAGGAAGAGGGATTGAGAGAGAGCGGCGGAGAGAGAGGAGGGGGTATACAGGAGAGGGAGGGAGGGAGAACGAGGGAAGGGGAGAGAGGAGAGAGAGAGAGCGATAGAGAAGAGAGAGAATAGAGAGAGAGGAGAGAGCAACAGAGATAGAGGAGAGAGAGAAGAGAGAGAGAGAGTAGAGGGAAGAGAGAAGAGAGATGGATTGAGAGAGAGGGTCAGTAGAGAGAGAGGGAGAGAGGAGAAGAGAAAGGGGATGGTGTAAACAGGAGAGATGGAGGGAGGAAGAGGGAAAGAGAGAGAGGGATTGAGAAGGACAGAGAGAGAGGAGAGAGAGAGAGAGAGAGGAGAAAGAGGGATTGAGAGAAAAGGAGAGAGGAAGGGAGGTGACCCAGTGTCTTTGTATGCTTCTATCTGTGTTCTATCTGTTCCGTGAGGCTTTTTATTGTCTTCACTTCCTCAATATCAGAATAAACAAACAAAGACACAGGCAGAACTCCACACGTAACCCGGGAATCAAACCGTCGACCTTCTGCCTGTGAGGAGAGAGAACCGACCCACCGACCGACCACCACTGACAAAAGACGACAGGAGCAGATCAGTTTGTACTTTTATTTTTTATAAATACACCACAGCCCCGACATAAATACAAATAAATATTAAATAAAAGAATCAGAGGAGTGTCTCAGACGTGTCAGAAGGGGGCGCTCACATAAGACTCACATCACACAGGACGAGCTCAGGTCACACACGAGGACAGGGGTCATTACACATAAAAACGGACAAAGACAAAAAGTAAAGAAATAAAAAATAAGAATCAAAATAGCATTAAACTGACCATATTTCTGTTCTAACGTAGTTTCCTCATCACAACAGACCTGGAGTTGAGTTTTATAACATCAAACATGACTTAAAACTCACAAGATGAACTTTTGCGTAAAACAGGACCTTTAACAAAGATCAAATCAAATCAAATAAACATAAAATGAGTCACTTTCTAACAAAACCTTTAAAAAAAAATCTACAAGAATAAAAGGAATGAACAGCTGTCATCAGAATAAAAATGTTTCCTAAATAAATAGGACCAAACGGACAAAAGTAAAAAGAAAAAAAAAAAGAAAATAGTGACAGAGAGAAAAACGTAAACGGCAAAAAGTGCCTTAGATCAAACTGCTACAGTTTAAATGAGTCAGAGTTTGTCTCCATGGGGACCAGCATGTTTCACCAACAAGATGAATAAAATCCATCCACAAAAGTCCAAAAGTCCAAAAGTTTAAAAGTCTAAAAGTCCAAATGTCTAAAAGTCCAAAAGTCTGAAGGTCTAAAAGTCCAAAGGTCCAAATGTCCAAATATTTAAAAGCCCAAAAGTCTAAAAGTTCAAAGGTCCAAAAGTCTAAAAGTGCAAAAGTCTTAAGTCCAAAAGTCCAGTACTCTTGTGTTTTCTTCATGAGGTTTACAAAGGAGGACAGTGGTCATGGTTCTGATGAAAATGCTACAGGGCTAATACAACTTTAGACACAGCAGTGCCTCCAGTTAGCTTCAGACCTCTGCAGAATGTTGACGACTGTTGATGTTGAAACGTATTAATGGTGTCATTTTCTCGCCTCGTAGAATAACCGCCCAAGTCACTTTGATCAAATGGAGTATGTAATTGTTTTCTGTGGAGACATTTTCTGCTTTGTTGGACGCCGTGACCCTCAGACCTCCTCTAGAACATTCCCATCTCGTCTTCAAAATCAGAAAAGCGCAAAGACCCCAAAGAAAGTCTTGCCCTCCTCCGTCTCCAGTTCGGACAGCTGGTTGGTCTCGGTCCAGAGGCGGTCTCCTTTCTGGAGCTGGAACACGGCTCCCAGGTAGATGGCGTTGTACCAGCCCTGGTTCTCCTCTGCGCTCCGGACCTCCTGCCCCGAACAGGCCGACCTCACCGCGCTCATCAGAGACACCTCGGTGCCGATGGAGTCCGAAAACCTCCACACGCCATGACTCAGGGGGGAGCGCTGCGGCCGGCCGTCCTCCTCCGACCTGGGGGTGGAGGCGTGGGGCTGGTGGTGGGGCTGGTTGTGGCAGGAGACCCTGAAGGAAGCCTGGCTGTAGACAAAGTAGACGCCGGACTCGGGGATGGTGATTCGGTTGTTTTGGAGCTGGATGCCGCCCTGAGAGAAGCCCTGGCCCAGCCCACTGTACCACTGCAGACCAGAGTGCCCCCCCTCCTCGTACGTGCCTGTGGACGCACAACACAATACACGTCATTATACTGTAGAGTTAAAGACCACATATTGTGCTTGTGTGTGCTCTATACTTTTATGACATCCGTGGATGATTATGTTATAATTTTAACATTTTAAATTGCAATAAACATCTAAAGGACTTCATAAAAGAATTAGAAAACTGTGGTGTCCAATGTGAGCTGACGTCGTAAACATCATGACAACAAAGTGCTGCATGCTGTGGGCCCCTCCTGTGGATCGCTGCACAACACACTAGGGAGTAGATTTTGTACCAACATGATTACTGTATGTTCCGCACTATAGGGCGCACTTAAAAGCCTTTCATTTCATCAGAAAACCGCTGTGCGCCTTATAATCCAGAGCGCCTTATATATGAATTTATTGTTGTGTCTTAGTACGACTTTAGTAATCTACAAAGCCGCACCATTTGCAGCATTATGGCAGGAGTAATACATACTGTGATTCCTTTTAATATCAAAATGCACCTGTCAAGAGACACACTTACAACGCCCACTTTAAACTCAAGGCTGTTATAAAGTGAAAGTGCGTTTAGCTGCGTGGGAGCAGTGGATGAGAGAAGGAGAACACACATTCACCAAGACAGAGAGACAGCGCCGAGCGACTTACGCCACGATCTGCCAATGGATCATGGACGCCTGGACTAAGGATCAGTATCAACTGTGGTCCGAGCTTTCACCAAGACCAGAATCATCACTGAACTCCAGGGAACAGTAACCACACTGACTCGGGTAATGACAAGAGGGATGTGGACGTGCTGGACGCCGGAATCACCCAACTGTTTGAACTATTATGACTTATTTAGCGTCTCAGACAGTATTTTTTTTAAGCGTTACAACTGAACAAAATTGAGAGTTATTGTCCAGTGAGGTTTATATGTGAAAAAAGTTTGAAAATAGACCATTCAATGAAGTGCGCCTTATAATCCAGAGCGCCATATAGTGCGGAAAATACGGTATGCTACTCTGTTGAATCCTACATGTATCACCGATTAAGAAAATCAAACTGGAGAACAAAGTACTGAGCAGTAGGCGTTAACAGCAAATGTGTCTTAAAATAAGGGATTAAAGATGACTCGATCATGAATGAATCACTCCAAATACATCTTCAGACGGTCAGTAAGAAGAAACTACTGCGACATGGTCAAAAGTTCAAATGATACAAATAAGAACAGAATAAGTTAAAGGTCAGGATCAGTTTGATGAGGTTTCAGTTTATAGACGCCATTTTGAGCACTTTTCATCGTTCAAAAGATCTAATATTTGTTTTGAATTGTTAACTGCCTTGACAACAGTGCTCATCTGAGATCACCACGAAACAAGACATATGTGATTTACTCAAACTGAGCAGAAAACATGAGACCCACTCCTTAGATGAGATATGAATCTAACAGTGAACAGATAGAGGTGAGAGACTGATTAATGGAGAGAGAATGGAGACTGGAGAGAAGAAAGAGGAGGAAGAGAGAGAAAAAGAAAACAAAGCGAGACATTGGAGAGACAGGGTATAGACAGAGAGGATGAGCAACAGGGAGGGAGAGAACAGAAAAGAAGGAGAGAGGAGAGGACAGATAGAGATAAGAGGCAGATTGATAGAGAAAGAGGGTGGGATAGGGAGGAGAGAGAGGAGAGAGGGAGGAGGAGTGAGTAATAGTGGGACTGACCTTGCAGATGGATGGCTGCTTTGGCTTTGCTGCTGATGTTCCTCAGAGTCGAGTGAGGATCTGAACAGGAACAAATTAAGTTACATTACAAAACATAACATAACATTATAACATAACATTATAACATTATAACATTACATTATAATGTAACATTATAACATAACGTAACATTATAACATAACATTATAACATTACATAACATAACATTACAAAGTAACATTATAACATTACATTATAATGTAACATTACATTATAACATAACATGATATTATAATACAACATTACATTACTTTACAACAACAATGTAACATTAATTTGAATGTTTCTTAATGGACTCACCAGTTTTGTCTGTCTTGGTCTGGAACTGCGCCGCACTGTGGCCGTTCTGCGCCTGCACAAGAGCAGAGGACAAACAAAATGAAAATTGAACAAATGAAAACAATAAAACATCTTAAACAGTTTGAGATCATGTATATATATAATCTTCTGCCAGCGGCCGTTACTCAGTCTGTTTGATTACACACGGACTCTGAATACAGACGGCTTCATGCAAGAGTATCAAGAGTAAAAATATGCAAAAACACTAGATATACAATGTAAAAGTAACACAACAAATACACACAAGACTTCAGTTGTATCTCTTACCCTTCTTATCGTCACAACACTTAATTTGACATTTTCAAGCAGACAAAGCAGATAAACATTTTCCATCTGACACTGTTGCAACCATTTGTGCAACATCAAGTCTGAATCAATGGACACATGTTTTTTAATTCCATCTCTGACCAGTGAATCATTGTGTTCTTGGGCAATACACTTCACTCATCTTGCCTGTTTATGATCATGTGAATGACTGGAGGTGATCAGAAGTCACTTTGAGTATCTCGAATAACATGAACGAAAGAACGAATCCAGTCTATAACCACAACGTGAAATCATGCAGAAAAGATTAGTATTTCAAAATAGTATTAGTACTCAGTTAGAAGTACAAAGTAGTGATACAGTAAAGATAAAGTAATACGCAAGTAAAAAGTACGTCAGAGTAAAGAGTAACTGTTATATTTGATTTAGAATTGGAAGTTAAACTTATTTATAAAACACATCACCTTTATGTAACAGATAATACTCCCTACAACTGTACAACTCACCTTTATGTAACAGATAATACTCCCTACAACTGTACAACTCACCTTTATGTAACAGATAATACTCCCTACAACTGCACAACTCACCTTTATGTAACAGATAATACTCCCTACAATTGTACAACAACTCACCCTTATGTAACAGATAATACTCCCTACAACTGTACAACTCACCCCATTGTAACAGATAATACTCCCTACAACTGTACAATTCACCTTTATGTAATAGATAATACTCCCTACAACTGTACAATTCACCTTTATGTAACAGATAATACTCCCTACAACTGTACAACAACTCACCCTTATGTAACAAGATAATACTCCCTACAACTGTACAACTCACCCCATTGTAACAGATAATACTCCCTACAACTGTACAATTCACCTTTATGTAATAGATAATACTCCCTACAACTGTACAATTCACCTTTATGTAACAGATAATACTCCCCACAACTGTACAACATCTTACTCTTATGTAACATATAATACTCCCTACAACTGTACAACAACTCACCCTCATGAAACAGATAAGCAGAACTGTGATTTACTGTATTTATATTACACAATTTCAGCTTTTTATTTATTGTACACTTATTTAGAAGTATTTTTACTTAGTATTTTTATTTATTTTTTTTACTCTTGTTATTGTCATGTCATGTGACTTGCGCATCAATAAAGTTTGTCTAAGTCAAAATGAACCTAAAAAAAAAGTCAAATGTTCTCAACTTAAGTCCATTTAACTTTCCTAGACAATGTTTTTTACAGTTTAACAAGATACAAAACATGCAGTCAAATCTTTTTTTCATATATTTTAAGCCCGAACATTTATTTTAAGTCGTGTTTTAATCATTATTTGTCCAGCTTTGTCATTCTGAGTATCTGGTTCAAGTCTGAATCTTTACTAAAAGTTAAAAATAGATTATTAACAGGAAAACGAGCAGCGTGATGTGGGAGTGACAGTCTGTAGTATATTTTGGTTTGACGGGAGTAAAGTAACATCTGTTTCCTGAACCCTGCCCTGACCTCTGACCTCTGACCTCTGCTGACTCAGGTTTACTCTGGAAAATGGCCAAAGGGTGGAACGGCGCCCCCTGCTGCTCCATACTGGGTGTACGTGCTTTTATACAGGAATTCAGTGTACACATTTGAGTACACATGTTTCAGAACGCGTTTAAAGGCGCACGGGGTAACTTTTCTGGGGTTTGTCTCCATGGAGATGCCGTTGCTTTGCTAAAAATGTTCCTCAGTGTGGCATTAAACTCCTCTAGCTCTGTTTTCTTGTTTATGAAACATGTTGTATAGGTGAGTCGTGTCTCTGTGGAGTCAGGCAGGTGGCGCTATCAGACCAAGTTACACCACTCAACTAAGTTACAGCTCAGATCTATGAAGAGGCGACTTCATTCACATAAAAAAAAACATTATTAAAGTTATTTTTAAGCAATAAAAACCTTGTGCTGTGATTGAATAATGCAAAAATGATACAATAAATGCCACACTAAGAAACAATACAACCAATACAATTAAATCTCCATGGAAACAAGCAAGTAGCAGACCAGAAAAAGTTACATAGTGCGACTTTAAAGGTCCTATATTACACAAAACTGAATCTTGTGAGTTTTAAGCCAAGTTATAATGTTGTACACTGCAAATTTCTTTGATCTGGACAAGATTTTAAAAGTTATATCAGGTTATTCATCTTGTTTTCAGATTTATTTTAGATTTACTAGTTCTGAGATGCTTTGTTCTAGTTTAGAGGAAGTTTATTTTAAAATAACTTGTCTGATCTTTTCTCTACTTTTAGTCATTTTCGGATAGATTTAAGTGTTTATATCTTAAATTTTGGCCAAGCTTTTTTGTAGTTTTTTTTTTTTTTTTGCTTCCTCAGTAACAAACCTGGAGTTGTGTTTTGTTTCATTCACACTTTATTTTTATACTGTTTACATCTCCAAAATTCAAAACGTTCCACCTTGTGATGTCATGATGTGGTAGTTTTCAATTTAACAGCTCCTTTTAGCTTTAGTTCACTCAAGATTGGCAATTCCAGAGCTGAAATTCTCCAAATGATTCTAATGAAAGTGCATGGAGTTTAAAAAGACAGTTGAGCGTTTCTTGTATCACCGCGTGACATCACAAGGTGTAACTGTGTTTAATATTTAACAGAAAAAACGTGTGAATGAAACAAAATGCGAGTCCGGGTCTGTTTGTGATGAGAAAACGACAACGGAACAGAAATCAGAAAATAGTGACTGACCCAACACGATCACTCGCAAGACTCATTCGCAAAGTGTCTTGCCAAAGGACACAACAACAGCGTGAACCGATAAGAGACGGAATCCAACTGCGGACCTAACCTGCTTCAAAATCAAAACGGACGTCAACTTAAAAAGGGGCAATGTGTCGCTTTTCCGGGGGGGAGGGGGCGTGCCGTCTGCTCGTCTCCATGGAGATGTCACCGCTTATGACTTACAGAGAGACTAGAGCGTGCTACAAGCCGGATCTGCAGAGAGGCGAGCCAGCTCACATAAAAAATGCAGGCTTTTCAAAGTAATTTTTTTGACTATACAAATAAGAACAATTCAAGTTTAGTGACATTGCTTCTGAATGATGACACCGTTAGGCCCGTTGCCATAGTAATTAACAATTAAAATCAAAATATGATCTTTTTTGAATGGACAAAAGCTCTCAAAACGTTGCACAAACCGAATGAATGAAATAAGTAGCGACAAAGCCTCATTTTCTAACTACTCATTCCTTCTAATTTAAGACTTATTGCAGATAATTAAGGTTTAACGATGCGTAATTTAATTTGCAGCCCTGACACAGATTTATTCTTCCAAAAAGTCCACTCACCGTCGCGTCTCCTCTCGTGCTCCAGGTCCAGACCACCACGAAGACCAGAGCCAGGGCCAGCGCCAAGAAAAAAACACCCCCAAAGATCTTCAGCGTCCGGTTGAGCCAAGACTGGGTCTGGACCAGAGCCAGGGTCTGGTCCGGGTGCTCTCCCCTCTCCGGGTCTGCAGGTGTAGAACTGTAGGCAA